CTTGCTTATCAGGGCATTATCTGAATATTTTTGATAAACCTAGATAGTTGCAAACTATAAACATAATAAAAACTTTGTCATTCTTACTGTGCAAAATTCAAAATATCTAATAACCAATACAGAATTGTGTATATAGAAAATATCAAAAATGGAAAATTAGAACTAATTTACATAATTGAAGATAATAGTAATGAAGCAAATGATACTACAAATTTCTCAAATAATAACAAATCATCTAACCAAGATGTTCAATTAGAAAACAACAAAATCTTCATAGATTTACAAAATGATGCCAACTTGAGTTGGATATGGGATATTCATTAAAAAATTAAGGAATTGAATCTTCCTTATTATGTGCAAACATACAATCATATCCTCTATTCTGTATTACATTTCGATTCAGCTAAAAACTATCTTATATGTGTATTAGAACTATTTAGATATAAAAATAAATTGTTTGGTGATTTTCTTGATCTAATTAGTTTTTTTTGGAGTAGGTTTTTATTTTTGTGGTAGTTTTTATTATTTTCTAAATAGAATAGTTCAAAGAAAAAAAATTTGTTAGAAAATTCCAATAGCAGAGTACAACTATCTAATGATGATCTTATTCAGTATAGTCATAATATTATTAAAAAAATAAGTAAATCTTTTCTATTCTTACATAGATTCCAAACTGAATTTTTTATTCCCGATTTGAAGAATAATTTAGAAGGTGATGAAATTAGTAATTATCACTCTGTTTTGCTTAGTGCAGTATAATTAATAGCTTAAGTTTATATATATATATATTTATCATGTATAATTACTAAAAATTTATTAATAAAATATGTGTTAGACTTAGGGGAGCACCATTTATCAGCTAATATTTTGCTACTAAGAGGCTACCTCCTCCCCTCTATCTGATTATAAATACTGCAATTTGATTTGCTAAAAAAAGAAAAAATTAAAAAATCAAAATTTTTTAAAATTTAATATTAAATAACTTTTGACTTAGTAATCTGTTTTGAGTGATTTTACCACCAAAATGTCCATCTCAATGAGACTATTCTACAAGCCTAAAATCATCAAAATCTAATTACAGGATCCTGAGATTGTTATGGATTTATATTATTTTAATTATATTATTTTATTTATATTAAAAATTATTATTAAAGATTTTATAAACTTTAATATCAAATAACTTTTGAA